AATATATTTAATTTGAAAAAAAAGGAGAAGAGAGAGGATTACATAACTAAATTATTAAATTGAGCATGTATTTTTTCTTTTGAAGAAACTAAATTTCATTGAAGTTCAAAAAATCAGTTTATTTTTTGTTAAAGTATCATTTTGATCTCTCAATTTTTCATTTTAATATTAAAATTGTCCCTCAACTTTAAAAAGTATCAAAATTATCTTTAAATTTTTATTTTTGATATCAAAACGGTCCTTTCGTTAGTTAAATAGATAAGTGACACATTAGTTTGCTAGCAAATCAATTTTTTTTTCTTAACCATTGACGTGGAAAAAAAAACATATTTTTTTATGAATCGGTATTTTTAATTAATTTAAAAATAATTATATCTTTTTCTTCTATCCACGTCATAAAATAAAACATCTCTTCTTTCTCTTCCCCTTTCACTTTCTCTCTTCTCCCTTCTTCTTTCTCTCTCAAACCCAGATCTGGGTTTTTCTCAAACCCAAACCCAAATCAATCTGGTGAAAATTCATACATTAAAATGGAAAATACAAGCAATAAACACCATACAACTAACAAATTTATTCATTAACATACCACTCCTACATTTTTTTCATAAACACCACACAAATTCATGATGAAGCAAGCTTCGCGCTGGCTCAGTTTGTGCTAGACCTCTGCACGTGGCTGCAAGCGGACGCCCTGGAGTCAGTACTTGTTCCTCCTGCTCTGCTCTCTTATCTTCCTCCCTCTCCTATGTGCAACTTTTCCTCTACTTTGTGCCACGAAGTTTTGCTTCTGGATTTGTAGCGAAAGGAGGAGAAGGAAAGCGGTTGCACGACAGTCGACAAAAGAGGAGGAGCGGCTGCGGGGATGCGAGGAGGGGTGTGGGTGCAATAATGAAGGGGAACAGAGTGAGGTGGGGTTGCTGCAACGATACCTGAAGGATCAATTGATGCGTCACTCTCTCTCTCAAACCCAGATCTGGGAGGACAGCCACACAAAAAAAAAAAAAAAAATCTTCTTTTTGCCAATTTTGATCTCTTTTTGTCACCATCTTCCCAGATCATCTTTCCGATTTCATCATCTTCACCGATCACCTCCAAACAACCACTCCCTCCACTCAAAACAATAGAAAACCTCTTGTATTTCTTCTGTGACAGCCGAACAAAAGGGACAAAAATCTCAGAAATTTCCAACTTGTGTTCTCGGTGATTTCTGCAGAAACAGCAACGGAAGAGATGGGAGAGAAAAAGGGCGATTTCTAGCATACTTTAGGTGAGATTTAGGCGACTAAGGGAGGGCTTTGCTATTTTGCTGTGGTAAGGTAGAAGAGTAGAGGAAGGAGGTCGACATTTGTGCCGAAAAACTGCAGATCTGCATTTGTTTGCTTCTTAGGTATAAATCTTAGACGAGAAACAGTTAAGAGAGAACTTCCCGTGGGTGGGGTATCTTTTTTCAGATTTTAATCTGCTTCCCTTGATTTTAGTTTGATTTTTTTTTTTTTAAAGTTTGATGCCTATTATGGATGTAACATGAATATTTGGGTTTGAGAAAAACCTAGATCTGGGTTTGAAAGAGGAAGAAGAAGGGAGAAGAGAAAGAAGGGAGAAGAGAAAGAAAGAATAAGAAGAAGAAAGAAGAAGGATGAGCAGGGAAAGGAAGGAGGAAGGTTGATAGGGAATGAGGAGGGAAAACTATCGAAGGAGGAAAAAAGGAAGAAGATGAAGTTTGAGAGAGAAAACCCAGATTTGGTATGAATTTTAAAAAATACCAAATCAACATATTCGATCAACAGATTCCATGGTAA